TATATCTCTTGCATCATTATAACAAGGTCTTCTATCACTTCTTTTTAGTTATTATTAAGGTTGAAAGGAATTTCTGATAATATGTTCTATCTTATTACAATTGTAGTAGATTATAAGAAGCATATTTTGTTTAGATCTTTTAATAGTATTATTATAAGTATATTATCTTCTTAGAAGTTATTAAGGTTAAGCTAATTAAGTAGTTATCAAATTAATTAATGGTTAGTTATTTTAATTTCTTAGTAAGTTCATCTACTTTAACATTAATGACTATATTTTAAAAATAAAAACTGCAGTAATGCTGATATTCTTAGATGCTTTTCTAGTGGTAAAGTTATATTCAATTTTGATAGTTTAGACAGCAGTTATTGTAGTATTTAAATTAATTGAATTTTGAAAGTAAACTAAAGGAATGTGATAATATTGAGTCTCATAAGAAACATTCTTTTCTTTTATTTATCATTAGTTAAACTTATACAAATTACTAATATTTTAAATTTATTAATATATTAATTTACAGATTCATCTATTTGTTATCATAAGGTAATCAATTTTTGATATTATTAATTTTTCTTTGTTTCACTAATAAATTGAACTTGAAACATATCTATAAAATTATTTCTATTATTAGCTCTAGTAACCTAATAGTCTTCTATAGTAGCTGTTACTTCATTAAATAAATCAGAAACTATGCTTTTAAAATATTTTCTAATAATAATCTTTTTACATTTTTTATTTAGTAATTGCAACTTTTTTAAAGTAGCAAGCTATTCGATAGGATTTTTATTTTTAACTCCTGAGAAATAGTTAATTCAGATTTTGATATTTCTTCTTTTTAGGTAAGTTTAAATCAGTCATTTATTTTTGTCAAATGCATTTTATTTTATTTAAAAATATCTTTAAAGATATTTTTTATTTTATCTTCAATTATTATGATTCTAAGTAATAGTATAGTAGATAATATATTAGATAAACTAGTTACAAAAGAGGTTAAAATATAATTATTTGTTTAAATAGTAATCAATTTTCTTGAAATTCTACTAGTTTTTGATCTACACTTTTAGTGTATACTTTAGAAAAATAGATAAGTTTACAGATTATTAGAAACAATTTGTATTAAAGGATATTTTTTTCTTAGATATATAAATATATTACGTCTAATGAAAAGATCACATGGTATTAAATACTAAAAGTAATTTATAGATAATTCTTATCAAGTGATTATTATAATATTTAAATTTAGTAGTATTATTAAGCTATTCAATAAATTAAAACAATGATAGTTCTGGAAGTAAAAGTTTCTGCTTAATATTCGTATTTAAACTAATTCTAAAAATTCTTGAAAAATAGTTGAAATTATGTTAAATAGAGAGGATAGATAGCACCAATTATAAGTATAATCTAGAATAAGGGGCAAGTCTGTATAATGCTTGATAATATATTCTGATGTAATTTTCTCTATTTTCACAAATTTACTATATACACCTCACATTTCTATCAGAAGTTCATTATATATATCTTTAATAAAGATTTTTCTGGTAGAAATAACTACTTGTAAAGCTTAAACATTTTGTCATTAGGATAATAAAGTTTATTTGCTAACAGGAAGTTTAAGTCATTAAATTATAAAAGAAATAAATACAAATTAATTATATATTAAGGTTCAGATCATCTTTATTGATGACTTATGTTTTAAGAAAAAAGTTATTAGCAAAGATATAAGTTTTATGTTTTTCAGATTATACTTTATTCAATCAATTATAGAATAAAAACTTGTCTCTTTACTGAGGTGATAATACATGATATTTATATAAATACAGATATAAGAAAAAGATAATTAATATAATAAAGAAAATAAATATAACTATGATAATAAATATAATTAAAATAATAATAACTGATAAAATAATTATATTAAATAAAATGATGATTGCTATGATAACAGTAAAATTGGTAAAAATGGTGATTACATTTTTCATAAAGATCATTAGTGATCCTAATTGGCATAGTCATTTAGTGATATATACGGATTATTACTAACAATGTACATTAAAAGTGGAAATATGATACGATCTACACCAATATTTTCACCTTCACTTTGATCAATTACTGATAATTTTGAATATTCATTTCTTTAGATTCAAAACTCTGTAGAAGCTTAGCATTAAAGGTGAAAAACATTAGTAGGTAGTGCATATATTGATTTATTTAAAATTATAAAAGAGATTCAAATAAAGTAAAATCAAGTTCATTTTGACATAAAATCAATTTTACCACAAATTTTACCAAAAAGAAAGGACTGTGAGCATGAATTTTGAATTCAAACTATATATAATGATTGGAAAAATAAGACAGTTATGGATTTTCTTCAGGGTATTTCCATAATCTTTATTTTAGATGAATAAAATAAAGTTTATTATATAAAGCTTTAAGATAAAATAATTTAATTAATGGTTTAATAATTATAATAAAGTTAAATTTTTCAAACCTATTTTTTTTGTAGCTGTCAGCAAAATGATTGTCATCAAAAAGGTCATGTCAATGAAATAATCATCGATAAATTGATTGTTGGCAAAACAACCCTGTCGGTGAAACCATTGTTGGTGATGTAAGTATCAACAAAGTAGTTGTTGGGTAAGTGACCCAGACCCAAAAAAAATATAGAGTATATAAAATAATGAAGAATAACGTCAAAAAATGTACAAATTCAAAATTTAATTTTCATTATATAAAAATTTTTTTTTAAAAAAAAAAATTTAATCTTAGATTGCACAATAGGCATTTTATCGAGAAATTTTAAATGAGAATTTTTTTTTGAAAATGCAAAATATGTAATGGGAAAGTATTGGGTCTTTCAACAGGACAATGGCCCTAAACACACGGCCAAGGAAACCAAAAAACTTCTTTCTAAAAGATGTCGCGAGGTTTTTGGAATAGCCCGGATTTAAATCCGATTGAGAATTTGTGGTCAATTTTGAAGGGACGTGTGGAAAAAAAGGTCAACAATCTTGTAATTAATAAAAATCAGTTACTATAGATGTTTTTATTGATGTAATTAAAAAAGAGTGGGAGGGAATCAAGCCCGAAATTATTCTTAATTTGGTTCGTAGCATGCCAAAACGATTGGAACAAATAATTGAGGAGGATGGCCATAAGCTAAGCTAATTATTGACTTAGCTTAATGTTTTTTTTTTCGTTATAAAATAAAATATATAATTTTAAATTTTCGAGTTGTTTTTGAAGTACAATAAATAAAAACGTAATTCCGAAAACTTTCGTATACTTAACTTATTGATTTGGAAAATTTTTTTCAAAGTGGAAAATTCCGAAAAAATCTTAATCTTGAAATTGTTATCATATAACAAATTTCAAATTACGTGAAATTATAAAAAATTACACATGATTTAGTTAATTTTAGATACTAGTGTTCTTGAGAATTGTTTTATATTAAACGATTTTATCATCGTTTGAAAGAGAATCTGAATCTTTACTAAGAACTACTTTTTTTTCATCGTGAGAACTGTACAAAGTCTTCTTTTAATAAATAATAACTATCAAATTGATTAAATACAAAAAAATAATTCTGATGATGTATTTTTCATAGGGCAAATAAATTAGCCCGGCTTAAACAAGGATATTCGAATTATTCATAAAATTAAAATATTGGATATTCTTGAAACTTCAATTTTTTTGAATTTCAAACGGTAACACACGATCATTTGATGTTACACGATTTAAAGGTGTGGATCCATTCGTTAAAGAAGGAAAAGAAAATTATAAAAAAACAGATGGATGCGGAACCGTTAAAATTACCCAACCAAAACTGCATGAGTTAAGTAATATCATTTAAAAAATTAAAAAATTAATGAATATTTAATATTTAATATATTTAATTATGTTCAAAAATTAAAGAATTGCATCCTGTAAACCTTACACGAATTTTCAAATTGCATCATAAAGTTACCCATAATTTATTTTCGCCACTTTTGTAAAACCAAAATAAATAAAATCGTGCATTTTTTTTTTATCTTTTCACACATGATCGATCATGCAACCAAAAAGTTAATAATGACAAGATGAAATTAAATACTCGGTTACTCCAACTGCGATTATGGACGAAACAAAAAGAAAAAACCTATTACGAGAGTAAACCTTATTAGGAATTGTATTATTGAGGAGAAGGTGATCCCTACCAAAATTTGTTGTTATTTTTTTCGTTTAACAAATCGAGTTTAGTTTCATTTCGTGATTTAAAAATGGTTTATTAATTTAAAAACTCTACAAATCCCAGAATTTATTTTATCAAAAATTTTTCTCCTTTTTTTTTTTTTAAGAAAAAAAGAAGAAGTTGTAATATAGTCATTTATTTACAACAAAGTGATCCCAAAAAGTAAACCGCGTGTCAAGTTTTAATTAAATTTCGTACAATGTATTTGATTTATTTGATTGCAAATAAACCAAATAAATAAATTATAAAAAAGAATAAATTTATTATTATTTTTATTTTCTTTTAGAACCCTCCGTTCAAGAAATTTCAACAAAAAATAAACAAATATGCAAGCATATAAACTTGGTGAATCATCTTAATAATTTTTGCAATGTACTACATATCCCGAATTAAAAATCAAAGACCGGCATAATTAATAAAAAAGGAAATAATTAAACTCAATTATATATTTATCTATAAGAAAAAAAAAAAAAAAAAAAAAAACCTTTTTAATTTCTTATCGACTTCCTTCGATTTAGATTATTATCAAAAGGTGAACGATCAAGGATAAATTATAAATCCAAAGGAAAGATATTATATAAAACGATTTTATAGGGTCCGGTATTCTATTAATACTGACACCTCTATAAAACTATCCTTCCTTTTTAAGATTCGTCCCCTATATTAATGGAATTTAATTTTTAACTCATCCTTTATGAAGCGATTGTTCTTCCTTCCCCTAATGTTTGATTCATATTTCTAAAAAATCACAAAAAAAAGTAAATAAACGCAAATGAGTACTTCATCTACTTCAACCGTAAGCAATATTATAAAAAGACATAGAATGAAACGGCGAATCGAAATGAACATTTTTAATAGAAGGACATACAGTAAGAAGGGTAGTCCTATCGACGCTCCAATACCGTCTATTTCTGCTACTGCCATACAACCACAATCTACCACTACCGAGACGCTATTTTCGAAAGATAATCCAAATCATAAACCATTCATGGCTGGTATGATAATAGCAATAATCATTGCCGTAATATTTATTGGTTATATTATAAAGAAAATCTTTTCTTACAACACTCGTAAATGTCCAAGTCCGTTATTAGATGCTACAAGTTCGATGGCGAGTAATAGTAATATCAGTCATGAAAGTAGCAATCATCATAATATTTGTGATACATTGTCTTCTAACCCGATAGAACTCAACACTAACGATAATACTGAAAATTCGGCTAGTGAAGGGATGTACTATAATACCCTAGAAACCTTAGACCATATTCCAAATCCTTGTGCCACGGTATATTCATATGAGACTTCTAGCTTTGGTGATGTGGATGTAGAATTACCTTCGTCCAAAGTTAATGTTAATTGGGAAGATTGTATGAAATAGGAGGAAAATGTAAATTAAGGCGCAGTAATCCTCCTTTTTTTTTTTTTTAATTGAATAGATATGTACAAAATTATGTAAAAATTATGAAATTATGCATTTGATTGGTGCGTTCTTTATTTAAGATAATGGTCTTATAGTTGGGTGCGATTTTTTTTTTTAAAAAAAAACATATATTCGGAGAATAGCGAAACCTGAACTCAAACAGGTATTACACCAATGAAAATGCAGTAATAATTATAGAAATCCCGACGACTATCGTTTAAAAGTAAAAACAATTTTTAATTTGATATTTATTGACTTTCCTTAGCTTAAATATTGATGAAACCTCTTGTACTATAGAATATTGATTATGATTTATTCCTAATTTAAGTTATTTTTATCATGTGATATAAACTAAGTGTCACTCAAAGAAATATAATTACTGTTACACGATTAAACTGGTTTGTTGTCACATCTTTGCAAAAACGCCTACCGCGTTAAAAAGCTGACTATTTTACTAACTTTCTTCCTTTCTTGAAAAGTGTGTAAAGCGACACTTATATTTCATGGAAAATATTCCAAACCAAATTTTTTGAAGAAAAAGTCTTTCTACTTACAATTTATAATAATCCAACGTACGCAAACTGCGACGACGTTTGAAAACGAATCAAATTCAGAATAACAACTTTTTTTCTTCAAACCCGATATCGATCGGTCGCAAATAAATATGATAATTCCTCCTTTTCTGGTTTATTGGATACAGCATAGCGACCTTTCATTATGATTGGCTATCTTTTGCAGATTATTTTTTATTAGAGAAAACTTAACCTAGGCCGGTGATTCAGATCATTTATTGTAGACAGGTTTTTTAATCTAGTCCTGGAACTTAATTTAGAAATTCTATATTAATACATGATCTGCATATATTTATATTTACAATAATAATCATACTTTTTTAACTTTATTCGTGTCTTCGTGTTTGCAATAAAAATTTCAGATCATACTATTTATATAGTAAAATTTTTTTGTACTAAAACTATATCTGAATCCAGACTTCTATTCAAATCCATCAACCTCAAGTTAATTCAAGAATCATGATAAGTTTGTTAATAAAATCAAAGATTATGCACATAAACTTGGTTTTATTATTAGACTTGAAAATTTTGAATATTTAAATATTACCAAAAATCAAAATCTAAAAAATTTCTAAAGAAAAAGAATAAATTATCACAGAAAAATATTTGAAAAAGAACTTTATTATATACTTAAGCTAGTTATTCTGAGTTAAAGAAAATGATTCAGAAGATGAAAATTTAATTAACAAAGAAAAAATAGAAAATCTCAACAATGTGGTTGTTCTTTTTATATTCCTACTTCTTTTAATAATTCTAATAGTTTATGATATATAATAAATATGAATCTTATTCATAATTATCAAATGGTTAATGAAAATTATCGATTTTTTATGATTAATGAATGGAGTATTCCTGATAATATTAAATAATAAATTGAAAGTTATTATTATTTAATTATTTTGTATTTTAATAAATTATTTAGAATTTATTAAATAAGATAATTTAGTCTCTATTCTGAATTAAAATATTTAAAGCATAATATAAAGAAAATAAAAAATTTTATTGTATGTATTTATTTTATAAATAAAAAAATCAAATTACTTTTCTTTTTAGATTTTAATAATATTACTAGATTTTTAGTACAAATTAGAAAAATTCATTTCTAATTAATATAATAAATTATAAAATATATTTTAAGAATTAATTTACTTTTATAATAATGAAACAAATATAATTTAAGAATAGTGATTACAGAATATTATATTTTTAAAATATATATATATTGTTAATGTGTAATCTTTTTAAGTTATAACTATTAGACGTAGTATCAAAAAAGTTAACTCTTTTAAGTTTACATAGTAAAATCTATAGTTTACAAATTAGTCAAGATTTTTTTATATATTGAAAAATATATTCAAACTTACAATGAAAGTATAATTCATCTGCTATATACTGCTAAGTATATTCAATATATATTTTTATATGTAAAATAAATGTTAATTATATTACTAATATAAGGTATTACAAAAAAGTCTCAAGTAATAAAAAAAGTTTTTTTGATAAATAAACAAACTAAAAGATAAAAATAATAAAATAAGAAAATATAAAAAAAAGAATTAATCGCAAGCAAGAAAGAGTAATCTTACACTATCTTTATAAAAGATAAGTTACATATAGTTATTACTAAACTGATTAGATTTCATTTAGTAATTGATAGTTATCTTTTTCTAATGAATTTAATACTCTATATATATACATTTAATATTATATAAAATATATTAATTATATTAAGCATATTAACTATATTAAATATATTTAATATATTTAATATTTTTTATATTTTAACATTTGGTATTATGTTACATTTATAGAATATATAGATCATATAATTATTACTCTATAATAATATTAAGAAACTTAATTATATAATATTATTTTTTCATATTAAATCTAATCTTAAATTATATTTTAAAAAAATTTTTAAATATAAAAAAAAAATCCAATTTTTTAATTAAAATTAAATTTATAAATATAATTTAAAAAATTTATTATTTTATTTGATTTATAAAATTTTTATGATATTATTTTTTAATTAATACCAATTTTTATAATATTTTATATTAATTTTTAATAATAATTTTAATTTTAAATACATTTGATTTTTTATTCTATAATTATTATAAATACTTTATTATTAAATAGAAAAATCTTAGATATAAATTTATAAGTAACTATAAAATCTATATATGAGGGCTAAGCTATTAAAATTACCTTACGAAATAAAAAATTAATTTTAAGTAAATGATGATTAAAAAATACTACATTACAGTAAACATTTTTAACTAATAATAAATTGTTCTATTTTTAAATATTAAGTCAAATTAATTATTAAGATGATACTA